TCTAGGATAAGCCATCTAATGTTCAAGAATACAGCAACTGATGCTATATTCAGATGAGCCTTACGTATGGCCCAGCAGGAGATACAGCCCAAACTGGGTGGAGGCAAAACGAATTTTATGTAAAAAATTATCATAGAAGAAACACATTCCTCTCACAAAGAACCACTACTTAGTGCATACTTGTGAGTACACTGGGAATCAGCAATTCAAAACATGAGTGGCTGATTGACGTCCGTCTCTTCCTGTTTAGTTCTTACCTGGGATGCTTTTCTTGTCCCTATCAATTTTAAGGGGATTTATAAAAGCACATTGGTTGTTATAGTACATTTTATATTAAAAAAAGGAAATCTATACTTATAATAGCAGAGCAGGTGAAGCTCGTTGAAGTAGCTTGTCTGGTAAAGATTTCGAGGGTACACATCCTCCTTGTCCTCCACCAGTCCGACTTCAGTCTCACTCTGTGCTTGCCTACTCCTCCCCGCAGTGGTTGTGGAGCTGCTACGGATGTCTGGTTGACCCCCAACTGGGTGGCATGCCTGAACGAAGGCCTTCTGCACATCCCTGCTTAGCTGAGGGTTCCTGCAGATTACCCTGTGTTTTCCCTGCCTACAGGGAATGCCCGCAGGAAGGTTTACAAAAAAAGGAAAAAAGAACATCCCTTACACGCTCTCATAACTTCTCTTCATCCCTAATTGTGAAAGCTAGAAGGATAAAGGAAGCGAAAGTGGAAGAAAAGGAAGGATGAATAAAAATAGGTGTAAGGGGAACAAATGGGGGCTAGAAACACATTCAACTCCCATTTCCTTCAGGACGGATCTGCCTCAGTCCCCATCTCCATCCAGTTCTTCCTTCAAGATTGTTCACCTTTTCAGCCACAGAGAGGCCTTGCCTAATCTACGGGCTGTTTTCTAAAACCCCCACTTAATCCCCTTGCTCGTCCAACTCGGTTCTGGCTGAGGCGACAGGAAGGGACCACTTACAGCTGAGAAAAATCCCACTGAGTGACGTAAAAGAGAAACTCGAACTTCCTGCTGCCGATGTTTGACCCGATGAAGAAGATCAAAAACCCATGTTCCCAGGTCCCGGGTGTACAATACAAACACATTTTCTGTGAAAGGTATTTTCCTTAAAATGTGGTTAGAGTATGATACTGTTAAAATAGTCTTCAGGCATACTACTAGATTACAGCATCTTATCACTGGGCAATTTAACCACCAGGGCGCTATTAAAAACACTGAATAACCAGTAGGATGCAAAGCAACAAGTATGTTCTTACTGCATCTTCCAGTTGATTGTCACAGATAATTGGCTACCATAAGCTTCTACTAAACAAGAGAAAACACCACCACCCACAAAAAGGCCATTGCTGACGCGCTTCCTGTGAACTGATAGCTGTATTAGGCAGTGTAGAACTGCTCCCTTACAGTGTCCTGGTGGCTTCAAAAGGCTGACCTTGTGATTAGCAGCCCAATTCATAACTCACTACACTACACCATCAGGGCTCGCACCTTCTATGAAAACTTGTTATTTAAATTTCAAACAAATGACTTATATTTATTGCCATCAAGCTGTCATCAACTCACAGGGACTCTTATTTTTATGTAGAGGACTTTTCAGAAATAGACTGCCTTGTCTGAGGAGTCTTTGGGTGGACCCGAACTGCCAACCAAGTGTGATAACCATACGCACCAGGGACCCTGTGGGATTGATGCTATGCATTATCAAGTCACTTTTGAGTCAGAAACCCTACAGAACAGAGTAGATCAGCTACAGAGGGCTTCCCAGGCTATCAACTTTATGCAAGCAGGCTGTCACACCTTCTTCCTGTGGAGTGGCTGGTGGGTTCAAACTGCTGACCTTGCAGTTAGCAGTCCAGTCCTTTAACCACTTGGCTACTACGGAGCCACATGGAACCGGGTGATTACCAAATGGCAAAGCCATATAGTTTTAAAACTTACACTCAATGTGCTCTTCTCTGGGAAGAAAAAGGATATATCAAGATTTCCCCTTTCCTCTTCCCAAGTAAACACTGGGCACTTTGGTACTTTCCAAGAATTATAAATGGAACACTTCTCTCCTCAGGTGAGGAGATAATATTACAATCGCTGATAATCCCCACATTTACTTCTATCTTCCTGTCAAGAACGGAGCCAAGGTAAAAAGTTGCCTTGAGTCTTTTCTTTCTCCCTTTTATGTCCAGCTAGGCAGAAGAATAATCATAGATAGCATTTTAAGAATAAACTCATACATAGCATTTTAAGATGAAGTTGATAGTTTCACTTAAACTGTAACCAAAAGTTTCTCTGATATTAGGTAATGTAGACTGGCTTCTTTTACTTCCTTGGGCTATACAAGCATAAAGAAACTATAACGGTGTGCTTTGAAATAAAATAAGTGGGGGCAAGGAAGAAAATGCGACTGTATCATTAGTACAGGTATTGGGTATTTTTTGGGGGTTATAGAGATCATTTTATTAAGTGTTACACAGGACAACGTGAAAACATCTGCATGGGGGCGGGGGGAGTATCAGCATGAGGCCATAATGCTGTCCCAGCCACTTTTGTTTTCTCAAAAACATTTCAATACCTGGTTCGTCTTCATAATTAGAAGCCAAATATTATTGCTCAAGTTACAGGCAACAGAAGTCCCCAAGATTTCTGTATTGATTTTATACAATATATAAATCTTCAAAATTTCAAATAAGGTATTTCTTATTTTTTGTTCTAGACATTCAAGCAGCATCTCAATGAATTTACATCTGAAGCAATTTAGAGACTACGCTTTGGCTCTTGTGATCAACTGGATTCAAATCAAGTAAATTTTTTCTTTGGACAACCATGCTATCTGGTGAAGGGAAAGAGGAAGACTACATTTTTGTTGCTGGCCTTCGATCGTTCTGAGGCTTTATTTATTATTATCAAAGTAAGTGTGGGAAGTGATTCTCAATTAGTGCACTATCATTTGGTATATGGTACAAAATGTAACCAGAGCCTTTCCCTTAATTTTCAGATTTCAGAATCCACTTGCCAATTTGTGATTATATAAAGCTGGCAAATTAACCTAGGTACCTGGATAATCAATAATGGCTACAGAGACAAAAGACCTGATGCTTTGAAATCAATTATCGGCAGTAACAAGAATAAAAGCTGGAAATGTTAGAGCTGAATGAAAATTTTCATTACTATTCAAAATTATCAAGAATTCTTTTCACAGAACTTAACTATAATCACTGCTATAAAATATAGTAAATAAAGCAAAAGTAATTCCATTTATGGAAAATGCAATTATGTGAAGCCACAAATAAACTTGATTCATTTAAAGAGAGATTTTCTTTAGGAAAGTCTAACAGTATATTGTGTTTAAGCATACTTGAGTTTCTCGGTTAACCACCCACCCACCGTTGTTTTATAGATGGTCTAACTGCTATCTCAAAAAGGTCTAATTTTTGACATCAGAAATAGCCTATTTCAATGTAAAGTATAACATGAGCTCAACTTTACAATCCTTCATGGCATCCCCAAATTTTAAATTGGGATAAAGGGGGAATGAGGCGAAGACCTTCGGCCATGGTCTGGGTCACTCAGGCACGGGGTTAAAGGTAGCTGGACCCGGGAAGCACCTCAGCAGTGGCTAGTACTTTAGATGTCGTTAGCTTTTCCTGCAGTTTGCTAAAGTTCTCTAATAGGCAGTTTCCAGTTTTTATTTAAACAGAGTTAGAAAATATACAGTAAACACTAGGTTTCTTTTCAGACATTACAGATAATTTTAGAGTCATATTTTTGCCATTGTTTTAAATAATAATTTTGATAATATTCCATTATTTTCTAGAACTATCCTAACTTTACAGTCAAAGGGCTTTTAAGAAGGTTATTTCCTGTTAGGTCTGAATAGTTTTCTGGCAGTGTGGAATATTGAGGGAAGACTAATTCTTCAATTTCATTAGCTAAAATATCTTTATTAGCTTGCTTTAACAATATATAATATACATTGCAGTTCAATTCCAATACAAGAAATAATTTTTAAAACATTACAACAGGTAAAATTTATGATAAAAGCATTTGTGAAATGTATAAATTTTATATGAAACTAATTATACTTAGGGCTATCCTAATGCCAAACCTCTCTTTAAATAGAAATAATTTAAAGCAATAAATTACTATTTTATTTTAATTAGGCAAATATAAGTATGTAAACATCTTAATACATTTTAAAACAACCTAAAGCCTTGCTTAATAATTCATACAAAATGGTGCATTCATCAAAATTCTATGTTTAAGATCATATAGAAAATTCCCATCAAATTAAAAATATACATTAATATTACTTCATAAAAGCTAACACCTGGGAGAGGCAGGCCTTGTTCATGAGCTGCCACTTACACTTCTGAACATTCCCGGGTAACCAACCACACTCGTTATCACCACTGAGGTAATACTAGGGTTGGAGGTGACTAGGCTACTGACTCTACAAACCTTGGCAAAAACCAACCCCTAGGAGAGGATAACAAACAGGAAGGTGCAATTAAAAATGATCTCCACTACATGCCTCACCCTTTGGGAAGCTCCCTCCAGAAATACAGACTGCAAGTCATCGTCATCCACCTCACTCCCTGACCTTGCAACAAGGCAATGCATAGCTTTGTCTCCATGCCTTTCACAAAGTCAGCTCCTCGCCCCAGTGAGTAACAAGGAGCTTTCCTGGAGAGAAGAGGAAGCCTACAGAAGTCAACTCGAGGGGACCTATTTATATTCACCATTTTACCTTTCCAACTGTGTATTTCTCCCCGCTTACACCAATAACCCTGAACTCACCCACTCGGAGGTCTCTATTCTGTCACCTGCAAAAGCTCTCAGGGCATCCTGTGTCCCTTGTCTCATGAGGAAAAGTAAACATTGTGTTTTTAGCTCAAAGTCACTGACATATGTGAGTAGTCTGAAAAGTGCACTACATTTAAAAAGTCCTACTAGGTATGATAAGTAAGAAATTGCTACAAACCCCACCTGGTGATCCAAATACATGGTGTTCCTTTGAAGATGATGCGAAAGAATTTCATTCTAGTAGACACCAACCCAGGAAACCAAAGGATAGAGAAAGTGCAGAATTCATGAAAAGGTAAGTTTTGAAATAAGAAAAACAGAGATTTTAGATTAGCCCCTACTATTTCTTACAGTACACGACCACTTTCCCACACATGTCTCCCTCTCAACGGTTCAGATGACATCTTAAATGATTATAAAATTACCTAGTTTTATAAGAAATCAAGTAGACAAGCATATAAACTGAAATACTTAAGCAGAAGAATCTTCGAAATGGCTTTAGCAGATTGAATATTAGAAGTTTTACTCAATTCCTTTTCAAAATATAATATTACCTCTTTAAGATGTTTAAGAAGCCAAGATATTCATGGGTATTTCCTCATACAGCTAGAGGCTATCAAACCCTTTGAGAATTATTTATACTGCATTTTTTCCCATCAAGAACAAAATTGTATCTTAAAAATAAGTGTAACCAAGTGTTATTTGAACTGATCAGCAATTTTTAAATCAACACTTCCCTGAAAATTAGAGGCGTTTTGACTGTTTTTCCCAACATGGCGGGTATGGTTTGCTGATAACGGGACTGTTTTGAAGTCTGTATGTATTTCCATTCTTACAACCGAAGGTTGGTGGATGGTGGAAGGCTAAGAAGAAATGCATCTTACTTGCAGTTTCTTTCACTAATGTATAAATAAGTAAAAGCTGAATTCTCAAAGGGTCAACAGCAAATCCCAATGCCGTGGACGCACTGAATGGTATGGGCTCATGCTCAACCCAATGACACGGCTCAGACGGATTGATGAGTGGCTCAAAGGAAGAGATGAAGGCAAACGACACAGACAGATCCCTCCATAGCTGACCTTTGGGCTGTGGGCCTCAAGTTTCAGCTGCATGAGCTGTGCTAACGTATGCTCCCGGATACTACTCAGTTCAGCTTGCTGCCGTCTCAGCTTGATCAGCAGCAGCGTAAGCTCCTCCGGCTGAAGGAGTACAATTTAAGAATCCAAACAGTGGAAAACAGATTAATTGTTGTCTTAAGTGACAGATATTAAACCAAGATTTCTTGGCAAGTTTCCTCTTATGGTTGACATCAAACATAGTGCCTAGGCACTATGATGATAGGTCCTACATAAATGCATAGATATCTAGAGAAACAGAAGGAACAGTGTTACTTTAAAATACAGTGAAGCAACAGTATATAAAGGCATTTTTTTTCTCTCAGAACATGAGAGAATATTTAAACGTTGAATCAAAACACAACATCAAGAACTATACAGGTTGGTACAAAAGTGAGCTATTAAAAGATAATTATTTAAAGGCATTTTAATAAAATGTTCAAAAAATTATGCCTAGAACATTTCAAGCAACAGAGCAATACCTGCATGTCCAACAGACCATTTTTGAGATTAGGAGATGGATAGAAAGAATCAAATTCCTGTAAAACTTGGATAATAATTAAAATCAATACCTGCGTTTTAGTCATTGCTTCCCAATTATATTTCTAAATGTCATTGTCAGTGCTTTTACAATAAAGCAGTTTTCCAAAACAAACAATATTTTGTACTTTTCTATCAACAACAACAACAACGAAGACCTCACCAAAACACCTAATCAACACCTAATCAAATAGAAAGTGTACCTGGGGTGCGGAAAGCCTGCCTTCCACTTTGGAAAAGCAGAGAACCTTTGGGTCCCATTTGGTTACAATGATCCCGTAGAGGAGTAAGATTACAACAAACAGCATATGAAAATTCTTAACAGGCCAATCTAGGATATTTTTCTTTGTTGGGAATACATTGTATGGCAGTCTTACAGGCCATACAATATCACTCAGTGTTTGTGTGAGCATCATTATGATTAAAAACTGCAGCAAGGCCAGAGGGAGCCGCTTCTCACTGCAAAGTGCTCTGCAAGCCACGATGCTGCAAAGCATTCTTTGATTGCGTGGTTTTCACCGACACCAGAGGACTAGCTCTCTTGTGGTCTTTTGCTATTGCTGCTCATTTTCTATATTATTCTTTTAACATGGAGATAGGAAGCTTTTTAACCTTTATTTTGGAAGCAAGTAAAAAATGTTGGGGGTGGTGGTGGTGGGTTAGGATGTGGTGGCTGGGGGTGAGAGGATGCCAATACACATCTACAAGGACACCCAGGATACTTCACATAAAATCTGGTATCTATAGACATGAAACAGTAATCTATTATATTAAACAGCCAAAGAATGTTTATTATGTGTGTGTGTGTCTGTCTCTCTTGAAAAAAGCAATGCCGCTGCTGTGTTTGTTTTAATGGCAACCATAACAAAAGACTTTACAACTGGGATATTCTATATATATGATGCTTAGTATCAAGCTCAAGAGATCTTACTAAGGAAAAGTTATGGTAGGTTAAGGAAATTATATATTCTGAGACCTACATTAAAGAGGGACATTGTCAAGAATATTTCAACATCTATCCTGAAGTACAACAATATCAATAATATAATATCTATATGCCTAGAAAGAGGACCAGTTAATATGACTATTATTAAAATTTAGACACCAACCACTATTGCTAACGATGAAAAAATTTAAGATTTTTAAAAACTAATTTCTGAGATCTCTATTGATCAAGCATGCCATCAAGATTACTGGTGATTAAAATATGAAAGTTGTACACAAAGAAGACGGACCAGTAGTTGGACAGTAGGATACTGGAGATTAAGTGATAAAATTTTGCTAAGACCAATAATCTTTTCATTAGAAATGCCTATTTTTCAACAATATAAATGACAACTATCCATGCAGACTTGCCATATGGAATATGCAGGAATCATATTGATTACAACTGTGGAAAGAAACGAAGTTCAATATCATCAGTCAGAACATGGCCAGGGGCCCACTGCAGAAGATGTCATCAATTGTGCATGTACAAGTAAAAGTTGATGCTAAAGAAAAAACTGAGGCAAGTCCATGAAGCCAAAGTATGACTTTGAGTATATCCCACATAAATATAGAGCCATGTCAAGAAGGAATTTGATACACTGAACACTAATGACCAAAGAGTAGAAAAGTTACAGGATGTAGATAAGGACATTGTACATGAAGAAAGCCAAGGTCATTAAAGTAACAGGGACGAAAGAAAATGCCAAATTGGATGTCATAAGAGATTCTGAAACATGCTTTTGGACAAAGAATATAAGAAATAGAAGATTTCAACAGGCAGCTCAAGAAGACAAAGTATTAATACTGAAAGGGGCAAGGATCTGGAATTAGGGGATTAAAAATAAAGAACAGCTCAGCCATTTAGGGTGAAAGAACTGAAGAAAACATTCAAGTTTTATAATATTAAAGGATTCTCAGGGGACACATTTGGATGATGCATTTGGAACATCAAAATCTGCTAGAAGGTCACAGAGTTCCTGTGCCAGAAAGAACTGGTAGATGCTTCACCACTCTAGTAGGTAGTATAGAATTAGGAACCAATGATATTAAAGAAAGAAGGACAGCTGCACTGAGAAGAATTGGGAGAAATAAGGTTCAGGGAATTGATAGAATAATAATTGAAATATTCTGGTAAAGGAATGCAATCCTAGAAGCTCTGATGCCTATGCAAAGGAATGTGGAAGACAGCTACCTAGCCAACTAATTGGAAGAAACACATTATTTGTGTCCATTCCTAAGAAAGGTTTTCCAATAGAATGCAGAGATTATCGAACAATATCATCAATATCACATGCAATTGAAATTTTCCTGCATTGGCTAAATTGACAGGAAACTACTAGGAATTCAGAAGCTCACGTAAAACAATACCAATGTGCATGTCACATGAATCTTGAGTGAGAGCAGAGAATTCCAGTGGATCCTTACCTGCGATTGACTGATGATGCAAAGGCACTCAACTAAGTGAATCATAACAAATAAGGAATATTGAAGAAAAGTGGAATTTCAAGACACTGAACTGTACATTCAGGACCAGCACATATAGACCTAGAGACAGTCATTCAAACACAACAAGCAAATACATTTTTGAAAATAGATCAATGTATGCATCAGTGCTGTATTTTTTCGTATACTTATTCAATCTGCATACTAAGCAAATAACCTGAGAAGGGGGGGATATACGAAAAAGAATGTGACATCAGGATTGCTTGCTGAAAGGAAAGAAAACTTTAAGCACTTACAGCCATCACTAGGGACTAGACCTCAACCTAAAGAAAGCAAAAATCCTTACAAACTAGACCAATAGGCAACAGGTTCATAAACAGAAAGAGATTGACACTGTCAAGCATGTCATTTAACATGGATCTGTAATCAATGCCCACGGAAGCAGGAGCAGAGAAGGCAAAAATGTATTATCGCACATGGCAAAACTTGTTGCTATCCAGTCAGTTCTACGCAGTGACACCATAGGGCGGGGTAGAACTGCTGCAGTGGGTTTCTAAGGCCGTAACCATTTCTAGGAGTAGGAAGCCTCATCTTTCACCCAAGAAGTGGCTGGTAGCTTCAAGCTGCTGACTTTGAGGTTAGCAACCCAAGACAAGTATGATGCAAAAGGAATACTTAAAGCAAAGCCGCCACCTCGAGGATTGCTGTTTGCCTGACCCAAGTCACGGCATTTTCAAGACCCATATGCATGCAAACGTTGAACAAAACTTGATGACCTTCAGTTATGGTGTGGTGAAGCAGAAGAGTGAACACAATTGTTAGAAATAGAGCCAGAGTGCTCCTTAGAAGTGAGGATGATGAGAATTTGTTGTATGGACTTTAAACATGGTATCAAGAAGGGCTAGTCTCTGGAGAAGGACATTATATGCTTGGTAAGGTAGAGGGTAAAAAAAAAAAAAGATCCTCAGATGAATTGCCAAAGACTTAGCAAGGAAAAATCTTGGAAGGCTTGATTATTACTGTAAAGGATAAAGAGATTTTCAATACATTGATGGAATCCAGTATGTTTTTATTAGACACTTAAAATTTGAGGTCTAAGAAAAAGAATTTCACTGGATTGGGGGGAAGGAGGAGGAGTAGAGAGAATACATACATACATTTTATACAAAACATCTACTAGAGGGTGTAAGGTAGAAGACAAAATATCATAATGTGATATTTAGCTGTATCTTATGATTGCTGTCTATTTCATAGGCAGATTATCAAGCTGAAAATTTAAAATTCTCACATTAAAAATGTCTAGCTTAAATTAAACAAGTTTAAGAACATAAATATATTGCAAGTAGTTCAAAGTCAGACAATATTTCATGATTTCTTGGTAGTTAAAGAGGAACTAAGAAGATTAAGTCAGTGTGATCACTACAGGCTGAAAAAGCTGTATGGTGCTTAAGTCATAATTTCAAGAATAAGACTACAACATGGTTCTCTTGATAAAATAATAAATAATCATCGTTTCTCTTTAATTTGATGAAAAATAGTATCCCAGCAATAGGACTCTTGAAGATAACACTGACAATGAAACAATAGTAAACACTTGCTTTGACATTGTATTTTTATAGTCTCTATTTTTCTGTGTAAAAATGTAAATCAGATTCGTTTTGCTCCAAAGTACTTTATCTCTATAAAATAATCTATAGCAGAAACTCTTAATAAGCCTTCAGTTGGACTACAATTGGTTCCTTGTCGGATCCATTCCATTCATAAATTACCCTAACTTCTATTTTACAGATAAGGGCATTAACACCTAAGAAAGTAAAGGAACCCACCACCAAGGCTATACAATAAACCTTTAAGATACATCATTTTATATTCAGACGGCCAGACATTTAGGGAAAGCCATAACAACCCCCACGAAACGGAAATGCGGCTGTATGATTCCCAGTTCTTCTGATGGTCGCCTCTCTTCTGCAGAGGCAGGGATACATTGAATTTTCTCTGGGCTGTACCTCTCTGAAAACTCAAACTTAAAAGCTATGACAGATATATACCTTTATGGGTAGCAGGTAAATAAAAAATATGGTAATGGCAAATAAAGGTATCATACTCACTGTTTTGCCTTGGAGGCTCTGGGAACTAACAGACTGTACAGTTAGGCTTGCTGGCATTGACCTTCTGTCAGGCACATAGACATGCTAGGAACATAAAGGCACAACATAAATTCTGTGATATAAAGGAAATTCTTTTTTGTGGTTAGTGTCAGTGGTTAAAAAATCTTAAATTTTTATTATTAAATACCACTCAAATATTGCTATGAGTGCTTGCCAAGGAAGGTAAGATTAGGGATATATATATTTTTTACTAAAACCAGTAACTCCTAGGCGCCCACAATAAAATTATTAAAAAAAAAAAAAAAGCTCCAGTTTCAGAGTAATTCGACAATACAGCCAAAAATTTACATGGCCTAGTTTTGAATTTCTCAAACTTTTTGGTCTCAGGACTCCTTTATTTTCTTAAATAAAATTTCAGTGAGAGAATGGCATTACTTTACACTTTTGCAGATCTTTTAAATGCCTGCTATAACAGAAGACCGATAGATTCAAATTTATTTGTTTCTATACATGTGCGAGGAAAATCTGACCTCGTGTGTTTAAAATATGTAGTTGGGAAAGGGAAGATAACCTTAACAGGTTTTTAAATAAACAACAATGTGGATACTCATCTTCTGATAGAATACTAAAAGACCCAAAGCATGGTTGTTTCTTAAAGATTAGCAGCAATGTATGTAGTATCTCAAACTTCATCAATGAGCTTTTCATGCTGTTAACATTACATTTACTGGTCTGTTGGTGCTTTGAATGAATCTTTCACCTATGCTGCATCCCATAACAAACAGGGGTCATTTGAAAAATATCAGCTCACTGAGGTATGCATCTCTTTCAACTGTTGACACATTCCATATCAGTAGATTACCTAATGAATCATACTTGCTAACATCACCACCAATTTTAAAAGACTAATCTTTAAGTGTTGGACAGAAGTAAGGCTCATAGTAGCAGATGCAAAATGTCTAAAATTCTTAATGTTGTTTGAAAGTTCAAATGTTACTGGCGATATATGCTGCCAGCTGTTTCCCTTGACGCGACAGGCTCATATTTCATTGTGGGCGAGGGATCTGCCAAGGAACCAAGTCTGATTAGCCATCGTTTGTCTTTACTTTTCTTTTACGTAAAATAACCACAGAAGTGCATTTTCATGATAGAACGATTAGCAGTTTGACATGTGATCAAACTGTTTTATGCGTTTTACATTCCGATTTCTTCCACTGAATATTCATGACAGTAATCAAGGATGAAGATTCAGTTAAATTATTTTTATTGTTTTGCAATCAAGGGCCTTTTAAAAAGAAACTGCCATTTTCTTTTCTTTTTTAACTTTGGGTATGTGGTATATATACAGTGACCTAGGTACAATTTGGAACCGCTGCCTTGAAGTCCTAGTCTTACTCACTCCTGCTTCTGAACCAAAATGATGATTGTGAAAACAGTCCTGAACTTTAAGTTTCCAGACAGAGTCTTGGGGACATCAGAAATTGCATAAGGGCCTGTGGTTCACATTTTGAGAACATGCAAAATGATAGGATCGTCTGAAAGAATAAACTTTGAAAAGATGGAGGAGTTTTGGGGAAGAGAAGATATTTAGTTGGCTAGAACTGGATAGAGCACAAATTCATCTCATAGTTGATGCTGAAACATTTTCAATTCTGATAAAAGAATGTGAAAAATATTCACAATCCTGAAATAATTTAGTCACTTTAAAATCTGCACTTTATATAATGGATTAGATCAGATTTTTGTTGTTTATTATTGCTGTTTCTAACAAATGTGATTAGCCACTGAGTATACAAAGTGAAACAAAATACTGAACCTTAAAGGAAGCTTAAAAAAAAATAAGGTCGATTTTCCCCCAGTGAGATACACTAAGGCTTCCTCTAAAAAAACACTATTTATGGAAATATCAAGCAGATGCTTGGAGGCAATGATACAACTGAAGGCTTCAGTGTCACAAAGCTAAGAAGAAAAGGTACATTTTTAAGTGGTTTAATGTCAGAAAATCATTAGGATTTAAAAAATAAATCAGGAGGGGCAAAAAAATCTCTTTTACTTTAGAATAGTTATAAAGATTTTCATTCACATTGCTTATCAGGTGTCTGATCAAAACAACAGCTTTAGTATTATGAGCAGCAGATTGATACAAAGCACAATGCAACTCACTGCAGATAATCCACTTAATAATGCTGAAACCAATTTAAGGTATGAATGAAAACTTGTGCCATGTCTGTAATTTTTGGTAAGCACTATCATTTCAAATAAGTACCTATAGCATCTAGTTAGCTGGTGAGAAAATGGGGTTTAACACTTTTATCTCCTTCTGGGAATTCCTGCATTTCTCCTTCGAGGCAGGAGACACTCTCTCTCTGCTCCTTCCCTATGAGACATCCCTGTGGAGAAGACACATGGAGAGAGGTTGATGGAACCAGACCTCTGGTGCCAGAGGTGCCACATGGAGACCCTGCCAGTGCTGAGATGCTTACACCACCACTAGATCCACAAGACGTCCCACCCATTGGCCGGTGATCTTCCTGTCATTTCATGTGTTTTGCGAGTCTGAAGAGGACTTTATAGATTGGTATCAGACATATGGTATCGGACATTGGTATTGGACATATCGGACTTATGGGCTTAATCTGGACAGGGGTGTTTTTGCAATTTTCAATTGCTCTTGCATATAAACCTCTTTCATATTCAGACACAAACCCCCCCCCCCAAAAAAACAAAAAACATTTTTATCCTTTCCAAGTACAGAAGGAGTTTAACACAAGATAACAAGGAGACCAGAGGAGGCAGGGTAGAAGTTGTAAGTATGTACAGAACAAATAAAAATTTGTGTGTTCTCAACCTACTTGGGGGATTAATGAGATATGCTATCAAGCAGAGAAGAATGCATAATGTATTCCCTCAAAGGATCTGCTTGGGTTCTCCTGAGAGATGAAGTATTGCATTAGGCTCTACTCATGAGATTCTGATACTGCAGAATATTTTAAATTTAATTATTCTAAATAAAAAGGAACTGCTTCGTCCACCTTTACCTTATCGCTGTCTCTCACAATGAAGAGACAGAGGAGTGCACTAGAAATAAAACCCAGCATCCACATGGTCGTGAGGGAACACGCAGAAGACACGTTACCTTGGGGTGATGAGCTCTCAGCCTGCGGTCCATCGTCACATCTCCTCTCTGAATTGGTGAAGACACCTCCGACCTGTACGTGCGCTGAGGGGAGTAACCCTGGTGAGCAGCCATTGAACCATGGGAAGGTGAGGTGGGAATCGAGTGCATCGTCTGGTCAGAGATGCTAACCATGGTTTTAGGGCTACTCAGAGTACCGTGTCGGGGGAGCGTGCTCTGCTTATTGTAAAACTGACGCTGCTGCCATTCATAGAGCTGCCACATGGTGTCATCCCTCATGGATCGCCGTTTCTCCTCTGCACCGGGACCCAGAGTCTTGTCCTGAGTGGCAGGGGTGACACTGCAGATACTTTCAGGCCTAGTCTTGCTGTTTCTAGGGAGGGTTCTATAACCTTCAGGATAGCGGGCCACAGCCGGGGCTCTGTGGCTTGGCATGTTTCTTGGTAATGTCTGGTAAGATATTAATCTAAAATGAAAAAAAATAGTTGAAATGTAAAAATGAAGGCAACAACTATTTTGCAAATTCTAAATTAAAATAGGTTTTCTTTCTCTTGGTAAATAAAACTTGTGTCAGGGCATTAATACAAGTGGTTTTATTCTTTTTATGACATGCAGTTTGGTAGGCTTAATTATATCAATTATATAAAAGTCTATAAACATCACACAGCATAAAGTGTGGCCTAAATAAAAAGCAATATTCACCACACTTCTTTTTAAAAAATCAGAATGTTCAAGACCTAACAGTAAACCTGTCTTTATACGTTATGTGTTTTTATTACATAGACTCCTGGAACCCCCTTTCACCCACCTCACTAACGCAGGCTTACTGGAGAGTTCCGTGGAGAGGAAGAGTGCTAAAGGTTCTGTCTGTGGAGCATAACCCAAAACCAACCTCACGGCCAGGATGGCCGAGCCCTGGCCGCGCTATCTATCTGACAGGGTAGAATTGCCCGAGGGTTTCTAAGACCGACTCTGGGCGAGTAGTTTCAAACTGCTGACACCTTGTGGTTAGCAGCCCACTGTGTAACTCACTATAGGAAACAGACTCTTGCAGATGTGTGCTGACTATTCTGTTGTGCCATTTCATTTAGAAAGCATGCCTACATGTCTCCTTAAAGGGAAGTGTATCAGTACATTTGCGATTAGAAAACGCAAAGTCCCTGAATCAGTCGTCTGAATTTGGGTAACAAAAATATAAGGGTAAACACTTAACAGGAAAATATTTCAGATATGAAATCACAAATCACAATAAGGAGCAGTTTCTCCAAAGATAAAAATTAATATTCTACTTGATGAAATGGTTTCAACATTTATTTTTGGCTTTTTCAAGTAATCTAAAAATAGCTTATGTATATCAAGCATTCAAAATATATTCTTTTAATTGGGCCTGTTTCTTAATATGGATACACAACAGCACATTCCTAAGCACAGATTATTTCAGCTTCTTAAAATAAATGATCTTAAAAATGCAATGAAAAAATTCCATTTAAGTATTCACATTTGTGGTTCCCTATCATCTTTTAGAGATAGCAGAGTTACCATTGCTAGCATAACCTTTCTTTTTTTTATTTTTAAAGAACCACAACAAAACCTGGAATTAAAAAGAAGAAACTAAATACAACTTTGCATTTATGCTACCATCTCCACAGGAATAAGCTTTTCCCTTTATTATAATGATTTACCTAAAAATAAAGAGCAAAAAATCAGGAAGCGTGAAATTAGAATAAACTCACTGAACTTTAGAAGAGGTTTCAAAAACCCCATTGTCTTTTGATCCATTTTTTCATAAACATTTGGAGGACTTCTTATACAAGCCAACCAAGTCTAGCCACCTGAGCATTTGACATGTTAGGCTTTAGTTTTTTTATTTGTTAGACAATTTGATCACAAAGCTATCTTACAATTCTAAAATCCTTTACTTATTATCTAAATATTTCCAATTCCTCCAATCAGTCCTCCTAAGAAAGTCTTTCTTTACCATCCGGCTGTGCCTTGGAACAGCAATGCTCCCCCTCAGAGCAGGTTAGGCCTGAACCAAACACAACACTCCCAGGAAGAACCATCTAGACCAGGGGGCGGCAAACCGCGGCTCTCGAGCCATTTGTGGCTCGGAAGTAAAGTGGAAAAAACTTAAAGGATATAATTCAGATAATGGTGATTTCATATGTTTCTATGTATGGCTCTCAAATAATTTTTTTAATTTTTAGGATTGGCTTCTTTTCCATCTCAAAAGTTTGCTGACCCCTGATTTAGACCACTCATATGATGGCTCTGGGGAGAAATGAAAGAGAGATGTATCCAATATTCTGATATAACCAGGAAAAAAAAATCCCATTTCCTTCCACCTATACCTCCCTTCCCCCAATCAAGCTCATTTAGTTTCCTTCTTAGCCCCACATGGAAGCCAGAATTTGTAACAAGTTTAGAGTGGGCAACACCAGGTGTCCACGTAGGAAGAGTGCATTTAGGTACAATTGATTCTTGGGACCAAAGCAATTAGGTGTGACATATTGTGGTTTACGTGGCCATTCATAAATTCACGATACATGATAGAGACCTAACCATAGACCCTGGCAGGTGCTAAACCTTTAGCAAAGAAATGCTATTCTGATAATATAAATAATAGCTTTATAGCTACTAAAAAGGGAAAGATCATTTATAAACATTTAAAGTGGTTACGTGCCTGTAAATTAATGCGAAAATTCTAGCCCAGAAAACATAACGACAACAAACAGTGAGTGCTGCCTAAGCAGTCACCATACATAACCACAAGCACAAGAACACAAGCTTCCAATTGTTGTAGAGCGCTACACTGAACGTGAGTTGCCAACCTATCACATGGTAATTAAGAGGAGTTCTACTCGGTTTGGTTAATTAATGACTACACAATTAAAAAGGCTCTTCTGCCAGCTGTGGGACTTTTGGTAACTTTTAATAGAAAACTGGGTTGTTACCAAATCAATGTATTTGTATCCCATATACGAGGGGATTTCAAAAAATTCCATTGCTGTTTAATTCCACTTATCCACAAACTTCTTGAAGCTGCTTCATTCTTTCTAACATTTTGAGATCTGGTTCTCAAAAAAGTACAATTTCCTTCAGCGCTGTTTCCCTAAAGAGATTCAAATGAACCAAAGTATGATTTACTTTTTAAGTGAAAGCTTAAGAAATGAGCACTCTGTCAGGTTTTGTCCCCCATTCACCAGCAGCTGCCTGTCAAACACCATGGAAACCCTTTTGCTGTGATTCTGCCATGCAGAACAATGGCTCTCGGCACCATGTGTCTTAACAGTGCCTTCCACTGACAAAGAATCTCTAAAGCTTTGTTCAAATGCAGGCATCTACTATTTGACTAAATATTAAACCTCTTTCTATCAGGATTTTAATGGGAAAGCTTTTTATAAACATTAAAAACAACGATACCATGAATTACCATAACAAGTCATTTATTCAAAAATACACACATAAATAAAATGCCACAACTATATTTGAAGGGGCTTGTGTAGTAACGTAGATGGTATATTTTGAAGATCGAAACGGGGACTCCAGCCATCTTACAAGAACACCTAGCTGACAGCTTTTATAGGGACTGGCATCACAGTGAACGCAAAGATGGAGGAGGAACCCAAAAAGCCTTAGCTCAAAACAACCTAAGACCAGCCTTCAGAAGCTGTTAGATTGCAGTCCAAAGAAAAGAGTCACGGAAAGCCTGAAAGTATGTATGTTAATTATGGCTCTCAAGGGACCTAACAGTGCTGGCAAACTAATTGATGCTGAAAATGAAAAAACAAACCAAAAGACTAATTTCAAGCTAATTTATTGAATCCCTATAAGGACATAACACAAAAGTGTAATTTTACTTGGGTGGACCCTGAGCCATGCTGACTTGGATTTTACTTTTTCCCTGAGAGTGGGCCTTACTAAGGATCTCCACAGTCTTTTGGAGTTCTGTGTTCCCAGGGATTACCTCTGGCTTCATTTCTGTATAATGGAATTTATTTTTGAAATAGCAAACATTTCTTACAACCATTGCTCTGAAAAATTAGATACATGAGCACTGAGGGTGGAGAAGAAGAAAGTGGAGCTGAACAACGCAGCACAGGAGGATCCTGGAAGCCAGGCTGTGAACTGCACTTGTGAAAGGAGACTGGCTGTCCAGCGAGTGCCAAGATCAAACCATCAGAATTACACAAAGGTGGAGCATTCCTACACCTCAGAAGCTTCACTACTAAAATAAGCTTCATGTCATCAAACATTACTGAAGTGATGGTTTCAAGAGTGCCCAGACCTTCCCCGCATAGTTGGACAGTAAATATATGAAAGAACGAGAGTGTGCAGGCATCTTAAGGTTCACTAAAAAAAAATTACACCACCAAATTTGTGTCCACTGACAGAGTATTTTTGTCTCATCTAGAAGCTGTTACAAGAAGCCCTGGAGATGTAGTGGTTACATGTTGGGTTGTTAATTGAAGGTCAGCAGTTCAAATCCACAAGCAGCTGTGGGAGAAAGACAAGACTTTCTACTCCGATAAAGTGTTAACGTCTCAGAAATCCACAGGGGCAGTCCTACCCTGTCCTACAGGGTCATGATAGCGAGTTGGTTTGGGTTTTCACAGCACACAATTCCATCCCCTTACTTCTTCGATGCTTTTCGGTGTTCCCTCAGACTTAGACTCTTTCTTTCACCCATTCTCCCTGCTGAGTGATTTGATCTATTCTGATCCTTAGCTTTAATTACTTTTGATCGACCCCCCAGACTGAACTCAAGTCTAGAGCTCTCTTTGGAGACATTCACAGGCACCATTCATTACTTTCTCTCTTCCCCAATGCCTATGTTGTAAAAGGTCCCAGACGGCCCTAGGTTGTTCAGCCAAAAGGCAGAGTATCCCTTGATTTCTCCTAATCACTCTTACAAGCCTTGAGTAAGACTGGTTTCCAATCAAGCACATGCAAGCAATCAACTAGTCTTGTTAATGATATATGGTGACTATATCCTGTCCCCTGCCCATTTCAATTACTCCCATAGTTTGAGTATTTGAGAAATACTCAAGGTCAAAAAGTTTGACCTTTCTCTAACTCATTCTCTATAAATCTGCACCCAGAGATCGACTGAAGCACCGTTCTAACTAAATCTCTTCACTTACCACCTCAGTGTTTCACCCACTACCACAGTGGTAGTTACACCACACCACCCTGGATTCATTTTTATTCCAATGGTTAACAACTCCAGAGCTCTGTGCACTTCAGCCAAGACATGCATCCTATCCTTCACATCTGAGCTTGTATCTTACTTCTTACAGAAAGATTTTCCTGGAAGCTTAGATGGTGCTGGTTGTCGCTGAACGGTGTTCTTGTAGCACCCTTTCCTTCACTGTATTTACTGTCACCCTATCCTGTGTTTCTTCAACCACCTTCTCTATTGGACAATAGAAAACAAGCTTCACAAGAGAATCTGGGGTTGTTTTCTGTGGGGTTTGGTCTCGATGTTACTTGTCTCATAAAATCCTTGTGTTGCACATAGGGTATAGACGCTTCTAAGAGAAGACAGCTAGAGTGGATCAGAGGGTGGATGGAGACAAGTTTCCCCTGGCTTATCATAATTCAAGGAGGAAGAAGTGACAGTGATTGGAGGTAAGATGAAGGGATTTATAGGAGGTAGATCTTCCCGCCTCTGATTCCCAATGAACCTGATTTCTATCTATAACCTAAGTTTTCCCTTGAGCTGGATGGCTCCTTGCCATTAGTAAGACAAATGACAGAGTAATGGGTGACAGACTTACATATAAGCATCACAGATGAAAGATAAAGGAATGAAGCTATAACATCCAAAACAGAATTTTAAACCAGTACTTCTGATGGGTAGCTTGAAAATCAAAGCTTCACCAACTTCGCTTCAAATAAATGTGGGTTCAAAAATCAAAATGGCAAGACACATACCCCCTGGTTTCTTCTTCATGACCTCTGCCTTTCTGAATTTTAATCCACTGCTCCAACTGCTGCATTGAGTTGGTTCTCTGGATGACCCGATCAGCATCTGGATGTGAGGGTCCCGGGTTTGGGTGACTTCCGCCTCTGAGATCTGCCAGGCTCACATTAACTGTTTTGTTCTCTGAACTATTCATAATGCCTGACCGGTAGTGTCCACTTTGAACTGTGCATGTTGTTCCGCTATCATATTCAGATGGCAGAGAATTCAATTTTACACTATTAATTTTTGTTAAAGGTCTGTCTTGGCCATCCTTCTGAAATCCGTATTTTTCAGCTTCTAAAGCCCTTTTTTCCTCAATTTTGCTCATTTCCTTGTTTCTGTGGTTGTTCTGGACCTCTGGCTTAATTAGTACTCGATGGTTGGGAATATTATTGAATTCTTTACTTGGTACATTTTCAGATGTAATTGTGTCCACTCTAAAACCAGAGAAGAAAATTAAGAGTTAATCACAGGAAATAATGCACATGGGTAATTCTGAGTTTTAATCTGAAAGTACGTGAAATTACCTTTGACTTTAAGGGGAAAATAGAAAAACTGAGAGGGTCGTGGAAATAAGTCTGCATTGATTCCCAATGCTGGGGTATTAAAATGTTAGGCCAACACTGGAATGTTGAAGTAGAAAAGAGAAAAGAAAACACAAAACACTTAGGGTGCAGAGCACTTGGGAGGGTACAAAGTGCTGTGTGCTCTCACCAAAAGAAATCTGTGAATAAAGAAAATTAAGATGCCTTTGATAATAAACCCCACACACGTTTAGGATAGTATACTTCTTCAGACTACTATAAGGCTGGTCTGTAATTGGCTTGATTGTGAAATGTAGCCTAATGCTATCAAAAATCTGAACCAATCAACTTAACTCTTTAGATCTGTACTCAAAAGAAAGCAAGAGTGAAGGTTCAGAGCTCCTGGCACCAGAATGCCGATGTTCAGATGGCGGGACAACCTCTTGCTGGTTGTGTCTTCAGGCAAGGTACTGAAACGTCTAGTTTCTTTTTTGGTAATATACAGATAGAATAGCGCCGCGGTCAGAGGCTGGCAGTGAGCCCAGATGAGTTAACCCACGGCCAGCACAGATCTTATCCTCATCAGTATTTCATTCCATCAAGCAACCTTTAGATTAAAATCTATTTCCCATGTCCATCTGTCCATCGAACAGCTTTATGACTCACTGTGTATCATGGTTCCAGTTGTTATCTAAATCTATGTCACTTTGATGAGAATGGCTTTCCTGAGACACTGCCAGGCCGGATGAGAAGGAGCAGAGTCCGGGCCTCACAAAGATCTCGGAATCTCTCCACATTTCAATTCATAATAACGCTTTTATCAGATCCTAAGTGAAAGTGGCCACTGAAGCCAACGTTAATGGGGTATGTAGCATACCGTAAATGTGTGTGTGTGCACAAGCTTGTTTGAAATACAATCAGAGAAGATGAAAAGAACTGTGATTATTTTTCTTGGAGTTGAGGTACAAACTATCCAGTGAATCGCTAGTCTTGAGTACCAAATAAGACTTGAGAAAGAATAAAAATAAGAAAAAAATGGTAGCAGACAGAGTGGGCTGCCTCATTTTTCTCCTGAGGAGTGGCTGGTGGGTTGGTACTGGTGGTGGTAGTATTGCTGACCAACAAATAAGTCTTTACATCACCAAGGCACCTGAGACAAACCATAGCTTCTAGATTAAATGCAATATTTGACCTTGAAAAAAGCTTACTGACAAAGATTAGGGACCTTCTTCTTCTTGAAAGATAAAATTAATTAATGCAGGCAATACTTTGATCATGTGTTTACGGGCCTGATGTGTTTGATTTTAGAAAATCCATATCTACATCAGATAGAATTTAGTAAGGAATCTGGACTTAACATTTCAGGAACTGACTTAAACATTTCAAGTCAAATGCTTCCACTCCGATGAGGCATTTACCGTATATACTTCAGTGTAAGCCAACCCAAATATCAGCTGAGGCACCTAATTTTGCCACAAAAACAGCATTAAAAATGTGCTAAAAACTCGGCTTATATACGAGTATAATCAGTACGTTATGAATCAGTATCCAAGCAATATTTTGTTCTGTGTAAACATATGCTGGAATTAAAATTTAACCTGTCAGTGTGTACCAATGTTCAGACATACCATGGTCAGGTTACAAGAAATGCCATGGGGAAAAATTGAGCTGCCTTTAAATAACAAACCACTCCTTGACTTTGGTGCTATGACAGGAAACAATAGTATCTTAAAAATGATATGGAAAAGTTTATAAAAGCCACTGAAAATTTACTCTAAAAGAAGGATTTTCCCTTTCCCCTAAACATAAGGAAATGAGTGTTTGAGGAAAAGGAGCAATTTTTAACACTGAATGCTATATATCACAAAAATATATTTTTTAAAAAACCTTTTTCATCTCTTGTCTAAAGTTATTATTATTTTTTTCACTACCCTTTTGCCCATCTAAAGTTATTATTTAAAATTCCAGTAGCAATAATTTCTCCCCTTCAGATTTGGAAATATTTATCCTTTAAGAAATATAGGATACATGCATTTTTTTTTCTACACAGAACAAAACTCAATCAAATATTATGCTAACATAATATAAATAATGTAAAGCTTGTGACCTAATTTTTAAAATGAGATATTGAAATTATTGCAGCAAAAGCACTGAAATACTAAAAAATTAAAATATGATGCAGTGAAAATTTTGCAGAGAAACTATATACAGTGAACCCTCGCCACTTCGCGCTTCGACTTCTGCGGCTTCACTCTATCGCGGTTTTTGCGTAACAGCACCCACTGCCTACACCCGCTCCTTCAGAGGAAAAAGACGGCGACCCACCTGTAGAGTACGTCCCTTAAGTCATTTCATAGGCTATTGATTACAGTATTTGTAAGAACTATGTATAATAATACTGTATGTGAAATATGTAATACTGTAAACTAGATGCCATAAATAATATAATAAATAATAAATGATAATTGTAACGTCCAAAATGTTTTACTGTATTTTCCCTTTTTCGTTTAATAAATTGGGTAATACGAGTGTAATGGTGACTAAAGGGTGTTTTTTCATGTCCTCTATGCTCTAACTACGAAAATATTTGATTTACAAATAAGGAATCCTACTTCGCGGAATTTAATTTATCATGGTAGGGTCTAGAACCGATTAACCGCGATAAATGAGGGTTCACTGTATTATGACTATTTCTTGAATGTCATCAATAACATGTACAGTAAGGGACTGTGACATTGTCGCTCAGAAATGAAATATTTTATTAATTTAGGAGAAGTGAACTACCAAAAATCAAACCAACAAAAATCCTATATCTTTAATTCTAATAAGATATATCTTAATAAATATTTGTAAGTATTCTAACCTCACAGGAAAAGAGAAACTATAACCTAAAAATGAAATAAACAACTTCCTTATTCTTTCAAAATATATCTGACCTTTGAACAACACAGGGGTTAGCTGCACCAACGCTCTATCAACGTGTGCATAACTATTGACTGCCCCAAAACTTAACTCTTGACTAGAAGCCTTGCTAATAACATAAATAACTGATTAGCACAAATCTTGAAAACGTATTATACAATTCATCACATAAAGGCTGCATTTACAATATAAGAAAAATGGTATTTCATGTAAGGTTTTTGAGCTTGCTAGCATAGCTACAGTAAGTGCATGAATCTCCTTTTCTATCTCTCTGTTTTAAAGGTCCTTATGCTGGCTTTGTTGATCTTGAAATGCTGGGCAACCGCATCTGCAGAGCTTAAGTTTTTCTGTCCACAAAAACGATACATTTCTTTAAACAATTAAAATACCACAAAGGAGAAAGCTCTGTACATAGGGCTGTGACCTTGTCTACTGTTCCTGGGCTCAACTTTTCCTTTGAACGTCAGGACTTTCCTCTGCTTCTTGGGAACACCCTCAGCATGACCAGTGGCATGTCAGTTTGCAGAACTGCACGACACACGAAGAGAAGTGCCCCAGAACCCAGACGGATCATGCTTTACTGCAATATGCAGTTTACTGGAGAGACAAACAGCTCATGCAAAGATGAGCAACTCATTAAAAAACAAAAACAGTCCCTCTACCCCTAAACTACATGTACGTGGATCCAAGAAGTGAAAACCATGTTGTTCAAGTTATTATAATAATATTATATTGTAATAATTTTTACATTATTATAATTAGATAACTTCAATTTGAGTGACTGAAAATGAACAGGGCAGGATAAAAATGCCAACAAGTAGGAGTAAAATAAACTTTTTATTTCTATAGTGCTGAATACCAGGGAGGAAGATCAATTATCAGCAACCCAAGCAATGACATCAACTCAACTGGTTAAACACTGTGGAGTTCAAAACCAATTAGGTGACCATATGTAAAATGACAAATTTGATTAGCATGTTTTTCACCCTAAATTATGAATAATAATTAGTTTTTAGAATGGTAAATAAAATGGAAAAAAGAGTAGGATTAAGTTGACCATCTGAGAAAAGTACAACACAATATTAAAATTATCAGGAAATAAATTATTTTGGTTATCACATTGATCTGTGAATCCTTAACAAGGCCCCAAAAATGTTTTTCTGAAGTTAAAATGATTTAAGGTCTTTTTCAATTCAGGTTTCAGTGCCTATTTTCCTGTAGTTATCAGTGAAGTCACCCAATCTTTAAATAAATTCAGGCAGCTTTCATATTTGGAGCTTCAGCAGTGGATGTCCCTTCCAATACCGTCCAGTTTAGAACATGGCTATGGCCGGGCAGGCTCTTATAAACCGCTATCGAGGTCTCTATAGAATTCTAGGGCCTCCCTGCTTTCGCTTCACCTGCCTTCCTTCGACTCTACAGTGATGGCTTAGGTTGATCTGGACTCAGTATTTAATAAAATAAGCCTAATTTATACACCGGTCTTGGTGGTACAACAGTTAAGGGCTTAGCTGCTAAATAACCGGTCAGCGGTTAGAACCCACTCATCACTGGACGGGAGAAAAGAGCTAGCAATCTGCTTCTGCAAAGACACCCTGTCACATAGTTCGACCGTGGCACAGAGGTTGCTATGAGCTGGAATCAACTCAGTGGCACATGTCATTAACCAACAGGTTTTAAACTGGGCTATTCAGCTTCAACTTACATGGTGGTAGAAATTAATGCCCTTTTATTAGTTCTTAATATCATATACCCCAAACAGCAAACTCAATCCAGTAAATCAATTCTGACTCATAGTGAATCTACGCAGGGTTTCTGAGGCTATTAACTTTTACAGGCGCATAGAGCCCTTCTTTCTCCCATGGTCTGGTTAGTGAGCTAGAACTGCCAACCTTGAGGCTAACAGTCCGACACTTACGAAACAGCATCACCGAAGCATTATAACCTCACTGCTATCGAGTTGATGCTGACTCATAGCAACCCTACAGCATGGGGTAAAACTGCCCCTGTGAGTTTCCAAGACTATAACTCTTTGCAGGAGTAGAAAGCCCTGTCTTCCTCCCAAATATCATATAAGGATATTAAAATAATTCATAGGATTAAAAAGAGAAAGAAATCGCATTTATCAATTTAAACAACACATAACTGTATCATTGAGAAATCTAAGTGCTAGAGTTTCAAAAGCAAAATTTGTCAAGAAGTATATATTCTTAGCAATAATTAAAAATTCTTGATGAATTATTTTCTGAAAATATCATAAAAAAAACCCAAACAAAACCGAAATAACTAGAAAATACTGAGAAAAAAACCTTACGATTCTGTTTTGTTAAATTCCAAAGACAGATAACTGAGTATACAATTACAAATTAACTTCATGAACATAAATTATCTTGAGACTTAGGATCTTAAAAAGTACTGTCTTGGCTGATAAAAATCGGTGTCAATTAAGATAACAATAAAAAATGTACTTACCGGAAATTAAAGGTAATTCTGTAAGAAGAGAGAACATTCAGTTTGAATTTTAGAATTCTAGATTCACCCCAATACACTGATAGGTGAAAATGAGTAAAGGTGGAATAAAATGTAGGTGTGGCTAATGCTAATGAAAGGTATATTAATTTAATACAGAACAACAAGAGTGGATCCTTGTTTTCCGAGGAAAAATGATTTCATAACATGACTCTTAAAATGGTATGTACTATGATAACAACAAACTTGCAAAAGATGGAGTAAAATGTGAGTAGAAATCACCATTCCTTTCCCTACAAGCCTTTACCTTTTCACGGGTTCTGTTTGTACAAGAGCAGCATCTAACATGGCCTTCATCCACAGTTCCATTTCCTTCCCTGTGTCAGTGCAGAAATAATAGGTCCGCATGTTTGGATGGGCTGCCTGATTGAAAACGACATGCCGATTTGAGAAGAAAACACAGAACTCTGAAAAAGAAAAAGAAAAGTTACGTGGGCATCTTACATATGTGATTGCTACCTAATTTTAAAGAAAGCAGATTTTCTAGCTAAGTTTAGGAATGGCTTCAGAGAATAATATAACAATCTTGAAAAGGGTATCTTTTTCCCTCTAATTTTCTCCTTTTTCTTTTAATTATATCCACTCTAACATGTAAAAATAAAAGGTACGAAGAGGGAGAAAATCCCAAACCAAAAATCACTGCCATCAAGTAGATTCATATTCCCTTGTTCAAGAATAATCTTCTCATAGCAATAAGGAACACAATTGAAATGCACATGTCATAACATTTTCCCCTTATGCTAGTTAGTAATTCCTTTAGTACTTAAAGGCACTGCTACAGTAATTATTTTGTCAAGAAAGTTGTTATGAGAAAAACATATACCTAATACACATAAAGGATTTACAAATGATCCAAAGTAGTAAGCACTTTTAGCTTTTCAAGTTTCAAGAAAGAATGTAGAAACTTTGGGTTCAAGAATGACTTATGTTACTGATGAAGTAGGAACGCCATTCTGATGTTTTTTTCTTTTGGTTGTTTGTTCTGCCTCTACGTTAGAGAAACGGAATGAAGAAGATGCTGATGGGAAACTGCTACACAAGGAATGAGCACTGATCTTTACCCTTGCTCTCACATGCCAAAGATGGACACATATCTAAGGGCCTCTCAGCAACAGCGATGGCTGTGTCAAAGAAGAAAAAAAGGTTGAGGTGAGGAGTTCCAGGGGGCAGGCATTTATCATTTCCATTTTAAAAAGCCTGCGACAGTTTCCTCGCAGAAGTGAAAAGGCAAGTAAAGCCAACAAAGGCTATTTTAGCTTAGAACGAGACAAGAAAGAGTAGGGCAGTCAGTGTGAAGTTAATCTGCTAAACCTGCGGACGCTTTATCCTTGCGATCTGCGACCATCTGCTCTAGCGGCAATGTCAAATGAGCTGTCTCAAACTTTTTAGGAAGAAATCAAGGTGTAAATAAGTTCAACAAACTCAGTGATCAAAATAACGATCAAGGAATGTTCTACTTACCATTTTGATAATCCGCAGCATTAATGTCAACAGACTGGGAGTAGTAAAAGCGGCTCAGAAATTCAGAAGAAACAAAACCAGAGGAGAGATTTTGAAACAGAAATTACTGTTCTTGTCATAAATAAAATGAGTATTAAACTAAATAGTTACACAGAAAATATACTTAACACACAATCATTTTAATTACTACTTTTTAAACTATTCTAGTATGTTAAATTACTGCCTGTCACCCTGATTTCCCCTCCTTTCCTTAAAATTTCCACATGAAACTCTTTAGTGTTCTCAATTTAACACTGACTTGGGGGGGGGGGGTTCTCTAATTTTATTTTAATCATAATCAGAAGGCAAAGAATGCATGCTTAGCATTAAAGTGGACTCTTACGTGAAGTGTGTTACTCAAACCAATGGTCTCACAGAGATGAGAAGGGGACTAAGGTATGCTTGAATTTAATAACAGCAGATTTAACCTCCAGTAATTTGTCTCTGAAGAGTATCTCATGAGGATGTTGTGCTTAGGATCAAGAACATCTTTGCAATTATCCTATACTATATTGCATTTATTAACTTAAACCAGTTTTATCTCAGACAGCACTGTGGTAGTCACATAATTTCATGTCAACTTGATAGAGTGAAGGGGTGGAGTTTAGGTCATCAACCAGGTCACAGCCTGATGTGTCTCCCAGTGGGCATGGCTTTCTCGCGAGGATTCTGGGAACTTCCTCGCTTTCTACCTGGAGGGGGGCTACCTTTCTCTGCCACATGGAGCCAGGCTGATGGCAGCCAGAGCCCTGGAGACACATCTACCACCATTGGTTCCACAAGACTTTGGATGCACCGGTCCTCCTACATTTTGCATCATTGCATATGTGATTTAAGTCTAGAGAGGAATTTATAGACTAGTATCAGACACATGGGATAATATTGGACTTGATCTGGCCTGGGCTGGGGTGTTTTCTCAATATACAATTGCTCTTTGATATAAAACTCTCCCTTAGACAGATATGAATGTTTGTCCCTGGTTTTGTTTCTCAAGTCAACCCGGACTAACACAAGCACTCTCCCACCAGATTTATGATGAGAATTTCTAACATGTAGAAACTTTGAAGGTACAGTAAAAGGGTCACCAAGATAACAAATATATTCAATAATTAGCATTTTGACCTATTTGCTTATCTATGTTATATATTGTATACATATGCATGTGTATATGTATACATTTTTAATTTTAATTTCACCCCACAACATTTCTAACAATGGAAAGGAAGACACTGGACTCTGATACATCCCAGCATATGCTTTGAATTAAGGAGAACTTCTTTTGCATAATCACTGGTTAAACCAGTACCCACACGAGAAAACCCAGACTCATGGTTATCAAAGAGATTCTGACTTGCAGCGACCCTACAGGACAGAGTAGAATGGCCCGTGTGGGTTTCTGAGACTGCAAATCTTTGGGGGAATAGAACGCCTCCTCTTTCCCATGGAGCAGCGGGTGGTTTCACCTGCTGGCCTGGTGGTGAACAGCTCAAGCAGGGCTTCTAATCAAGGGTTCACACATATATACATTCATTCATAAATATAAAAATGACCATAGTTGAAACTTCTCTCTCTCTACTAATCTATGGATGACATCCATTTTAATCAAAATAAGTGTCAAACAGATCATTAAAAAACATGTTGACTTCCTTACCTTAAAAGCATATTTGCGATTAATGTGATCCTCAGAGGTAAGCATGGCTATCTGAAAACTCGGCAATAGAATGCTTCCAAGGATACCCTCTTCTTTTTCATCTAAGAGAGAATGTAACATCCAGTTCGAAGTTTAAATGTCATGAGCAGAATACATTTCCCCAAACTTTATTTTGACTACCTCACGTATTGGCATTAAAACTTAAATCCCAAACCCATTGCCATTGAGATGACTCGGACTCAGCAAACTATAGGGGTTTGTGGATCTTCACAGGAACAGACACAGGGGCTTCATCTTTTCCCAAAGCGCAGGCAGCAGGTGGGGGAGGGGGGGCGGCGGGGGTTAAACCTCTGACCACGATGTGGTTAGAAATCCAATGCGGGCTCAATAGAGCTCATGGCCTGGCATTAGGTAAGTCTTCATATGGTTTTACGTAAAACTATCAAATAGCAGAAGTTCTTTGATCAATGAAGTCACCCATCCCAAGTCAATCAGAAATTGTTCCCAGAGGTTGGAAAATGTTAATTAGATGTAAACAACATACTTTTGGTTGACATATATACTGTATTCAACAAAGCTTTTTTAAGTGTGATTCCTTGAAAATATATTATCTTTTAATTAATGACATGGGAACATGACAAAACTAATCCATCATGTTTCTGGCAGGAATTAAGTACATAACATTCTAACTCCAGACAAATGCACAGCTTGTTCGTGTACATCTTTCGGTCTCTCCTCAATTATCTCATCATGGAAACCGGCCCTGATGATGCTTCTGAAAAACATCTCAACTTCCTAAACCCTTTCTCACAGCCATCAAGTCCATACCCACTCATAATAACAGGACAGAACTAGCCCTCTGGGTTTCCGAGACTGTAATGCTTTACAGAGTAAAAGCCTCCTCTGTCTTCCTTGGAGCAGCTGGTGGTTTTGAACTGCGACCATGCAACTAGCAGTGCCACCATGGCTCTGCAAGACCTTCCATCTTCCTTTTGGATTCCCCTCTGTCACAATAGCTCTAAGATACTATATGTCCCATGTCCCCACTTTGTATCATCATCTTTCTCTCCAGCTAGAATGTAAGCTCCACGAGGAGATGCTCAAAATCCATGCCCAAAAATGAATAAATGAATGAACACATTAATACATTTTTTAACTGTGCTATAAAATCATATGTTTAAAAAAAATAACTTTCAAGGCTTGTTTTTATCAGTCATTCTGATACACAAGAAGATAAGAATAAATTATAAGCCTACAAGCAAACACATAACGAAACGCATAGCTAAGAAAATGATAAAACATTAATTTTGCCACAGTATAGATTCACATAGCCTTGGTGCTTGAGGGCAGAAACGTTTATGAAATTTGAAATACATATTTCACCTTTGTTGCCCACAAGACAAGTTAATAAAGCTGTACATCAGGTTGATGAATTCACCAATGAGAAAAGTCATCAGTGGGAAATAAGTCTTTATTATGCTTGCCAGGTTTTTAAATTTTAAAACATATTAACTTAACGAGGAATCTTCTTCCCTCCTTCTTTCTATAGTAAATGATGAAACTTCCAGAAGGACAAAACAAATTACATTAAAAGGCGGTTATTTTAATAGGTTTTCGCATCACAGGTGAACAAAATTTTGCTTAAACGCTATGTGCTCACTCTATACGTGTTCATGAATACAAGGAAGAACGAACAAATGTGCAGTTTTATTCTAAAAGTAAAGAAAGGCACCAACAAGCATCACCAAGCATGGAAAACATGACATTTAAAATGAATGAGTCACACCCTAATTTTGAATCCCATTTTCTGTTTAGATAAAGGGTACAATCAGAAATAGCTCAGAAAGTCACCTTCATTTGAAAACAAAACAAAACCTCTAACATTTCCCCTAAATATAAACTCTTCTATAGTCCTACTTTGGAGGAAGCAGTCTTGCCTAGAGTTGCAAGGTTGCTTTAGAGCATGCAGAGTCAGCCATGCACGGCGGAACTTCACTGGCACACCTGGGACTTGTTCTCAGCCCAAGCCTAGCGAGCCAGTGTCAGTGCACATGATTCATATACTTGGGCCTCAACTTCCTGTCTGTAAATTTGGGCATGAAAGGACTTAACTCAAAAGGTTGTTGTGGGGATTACATGAGTCAATAATGTAAAGCATTCAGAAATGGCTATACATTATATTGCCATCATTATGCAAAACGAAAGGCATTGCATATAAAATAGTCATCTTTGGTGGAAAGACCATCCCTAAGATTTGTTTACTATGTTTCTCAAATGCTTTCAATCATGGCTTTATTCTGTTCACTTCTATATCAAACCTGACCTAAGAATGGTACTACTTCCTACCACTCAAGAGTACTTCACTGCTAACAAGAATAAGTACTTTATAATGCTTGTCAAATGAAGCAGCTCACTATGGGGTCAGCAGAGGCCTAGTGGGACTGTATGGCAGCCTCTGTGGCCGATGCTTCTTCCTCTTTCCTTCCTCAGGTGGTAATGCCAAGGACAAGCCTCCTGCACATTGACCTCCATCACCGAGTGTGCCTCCTGGGGAACAGGACTTGGGACAGCAGCCAGCAGAATCACAAGCTTATTGGCTCCAATGACATTTTAGATTCCCCATTTAGCTTGTAAAGTGGTTGGGGAACATGTCAGGAAACATACAATTACAGTAGAACAAATAGCTCACAGACAGGAACATGATTACTAATGATTATTTCTCACTTGGAATACTCAATACTGTTAACCAGTCTGTTAGGGTCTAGTTCAAATGCCAGGGTGATTTTTCTAAAACATACATCTGATTCTATCAAATATAAGAGTAATAATAAGCATTGCCAAAACCCATTGCCATCAATTGTCCCTTGTGATTTATGCTTGGCCAAGCTTACAGCCTTAATAGTTGCTAGGTTTGGATATAACCTACATTTCAGCAATGCAAGGCCTATGGAGTTCTCTAAATATGCCACGATCATTAAGGATTGGCACATGTGAGGTTAGTTTTTTCCTCAATTCACCCTTTTTTCTTGACACCTTCTTTTACAGGCCTACCACTCATTCAGCATAATGGACCATTTATCATGATAATTCTTTCTCATACTTAATATGATGCTCATCTCTAAGTCCCATTAGGATAGGGTTTTTTTTGTTCATTTCTGTATCATACTATTATCTTGTAGTATACTTCTCTAAGAACATAGTAAATTATTATTGATGAGATAGTAATCTATTCTTCAGCGACAGTTTCCAACCAAACAACTTAAAGTAAGGAAGAAAGATCAATTGTTCAGATTCATGATTTTTTATTAGAATGGAAGCTGATTTCTTGGTTCTAAAATAGCCTTTGTACTATTGTAATTCTCAGGTGCCAATTGTTTATCTTAAAGATCCATGTGGCACATGAACAGATTTTTCTCTAGACTTTTATTTTAAATCATATTAACCAGTAACTTATTAATTCTACTCAAAACTTGCTGCCATTGAGTTGATTCTGACCCATAGTGTAGGTCTGAGGAGAACCGCCCTGTGCGTTTCCAAGGCTGTTACTGTACTGGAGCAGAACATTTTACATTTCTCCTCCGGAGTGGCTGGTGGGTAAGAACCCCTGCCCTTGTTATACTAAGCAGTCCAACTCACAACCCACTATATCACCAGGGCCTCTTAACTGGGGAATATTAAAATAAAAAAAAACCCTCAAGAGTTTTGATATCTATATTGAAAGTCTAACTATAACAATACTGTTTTTCCCATCAGCAATATTAACAGCCTGGTATGCATCCTTATCACAACTTTTCCTTGTTTTAAGAAGAAGGCTAGCATTGTATTACTATTATTTTTAAACAGGATCATTTTCCTGCAATATTTTTCACTCGCCAACGTGCCATGCCAATCATTAATACCCTAAAATCATTTCCTGGAGAGAAAACAGGTGACCGGGAGGTAGGTGTGGCAAAGCTGCTATGTGGCACTGAATTCAAGGACATTATAGAGAAGAGGGTGATACGATCTTTACACAGAACAAACCAGAAGAATACAATCGTATTACAGACACTAGAACAAAACTCTGACTAATTCTCTTGGAATCACTAAATTGTCTTGGGTCATACCTCAGTCGTAAGTCTATACAGAAAATATCTTCTTGATAGTATTAATGAGGAACAAAGTAGCAAAAACGAATGTAATATTATTTCTTTAAAAATATTCCCAATGTTTAACATCCATGAAACTGGAATGATCAAATATAACACAGAAACATAGTTTAGGGTGAACTCACCTCTATAATAAAAGAGGCAAAGGTCAGAAAGCACAAACCAGCGTTTCTTCCACAACTTCATGCCAGTACTGTCCTGCATTAGATCACATTGAAGGATAGACACTGTTTAATGCAACACAATTCAATCGACTTCCATTAATGACATTTACTTAAAAATACATTTCTTAAAACAAGTTTGGCTTGCTGGGTGTACATGGAAACAGAAATGGTTGACCACAATTTTGGCAGTAATTTTTTTAAGTGCACATATCATTTTCCAAATAGCCTCAAGTATACTGGACTTTGAAGAATGATATTGTCATGTGTAGGAAGTACAGTTGAAGCAATTTAACGTTGCTTCATATTTGTAAGCAATTTGAAATTCACTCTTCTGAACATACATCTGTACTATGCGGATAATGTAGCAATGTGGTAGACCAGATTTCATAAATATGTTAATAATCAATACAAAGGAAAGCACAGGAATTGAAATGATTTCAAAGGCAATGTGATATAAAATCACTACAAATAAAGGAAATTCATACAGATACATTTCACCATCTTTTTTTTTTAATGGAATCAGTTTGGGGTTTGCTCATCTTGCAGAAAAGAATGACCATTTGGCAGCATTTTCTAATGAATTTGGTTCATAAATATCATCTCAAACAAAGTAAGGATTTTAATAAAAATTACCTTCTTCCATGCAATCAGGAAAAAAGTGGAAAAGACAGAACAAAATAAAGACAAAAAAAGAGAGGTGGAATTGGGTGAATATTGTTAAAGCCTGGCTATAACTACCCTCTGGTAATGTTAAAGCTAAATAAATTATATGAGTGAAAATCCCTTACGAGTAAAAATAGCTAAAGCTGACAGCCACCCCAAGGAAAGGACGAAAGTTAAATGGTGCGTGGTAGCTCCCATTTATTACCTATCGTGTTGTTGTTTTTAAAGATGATTGGTCTTCATCGCAAATTTTTTAGATACAGCGATTTCAAGTGAACTTACTGTAACAAATTCATTGAGATATTTTCCTCTCTAAGTGTAATTTTTTTGATGCTATTTGAGAATATACACCAGCTCAACAATTTAGTAGCCTTCAAACTGTGCTTCCACTCTCTCCTTCTGAGTTGCTCCACAGCCATTAACATCACGCCACCCAGGTTCTTATTTAATCCTCTGAGTTGCCATTATCAACTTTGATCTCATACAGATCTCTTAAAAAAAACAAAATACCCAAGAAAGATCTTTTTAAAATTAGTCTAATGTTTTAAAGAAGACTTCAAAGTGTATTTTTGGTTTAAATATTTAAAGATTATCCCAGGGGAATAGTTTTAAGAGTTCATCCAACATGCAATGAATCCCGTTTTCATTTGGATCAAGATTCTTCTATGGAATCTTGGATCACAACGTTCAATAATGGTAGCCAGCTACCGTTTGGTTCTGAATTGTCACAGGAGGAAGCTGTTGATGAAGGCCACACATTCTGTGTCCCCCTCTTCTTGACTCCCCTGCTTCCTCTGTTGCTCCGGGGGACGTGATACCAATGGCTGTGCTTTGAAAGACTCCTTGCAAGCTTTTATGATTGTACAACTAACAAGAGGTAGATCACAAGCACCCAACTTGCTGAGCCAATTAACTCGATGTTCTATGAAATTATGATCCTAAACCTCCAGAACAAGGAGCCAAATCCTATGAAGATTTCAGTTATACATACATCATCTCAATGGCTTTTCACTTTTTGGCAACAATGGAGGTGGTACATTGTTATATAGATGTCTATTACCTAACTATTGTCAAATTGACTTTTTACAGCTATACAATTTATTGACAGCAATTATGATCATCTGTTTTGCATCCCAACACTTGATCTACGTGATCACTGTCAAGCCTCCTCACCCCAGCCCAGCCACTACGAATACACTGTTGTTCTCTATATCGTTCGGTGACATCGACTGGCTTCCGGCTCAGTGGCACTATGTACAACATAACAAAATACTGCCTGTCCTGTGCCGTCCTCACAACTGTTCTGCATACACCTGCCCTTTCTGGAAGTGAGGTCAAACAGCACCTGTCCTGTGGGGACTGGCTTACTTCACTTCACATGTGGTCAAATTCCATCTCCAACTGTACCAAGTGTGAAGAATTCACTTCTAGTGGCTAACTCGTACTTCCCATTTTGTTTGTCCACCCATCTGCTGATGAGTATCATGATTGTTTCAACCTTTGTGGCATTATAATCAGTGCTTCAGTATTGTCCAAGACTCTTTTTGAGTCTCTCTTCAAGTAGTCTGGGCATATACCTGTGAATGAAAACTGTTTGGTTATCTGACGGTTCCATTTTTAGTTTTGTGAGAAACTGCCATACGGTGCTCTACATGGTTATTATAATTTTCATTAACCACTAGCAATAGATATGGGTTCCAATTTACCAACATTTTTGTTGTTGTCTTACTTAGCAATACCAGTAGGAGTGACATATGGTTTAGAAATAACCATCTCTGATGGCTAATGGCACCTTTAATGTGTCCGGTGGTCATTTGAAGCTCCTTTTTGCTGAATTGTTTACTCAAGTCATCTGTCCAATTTGACTGGGTTGTTTGTCTTTGCATTGTTATGTTCTTAAAGTTTTAGAGACACAAGGGTGGATCAAAAAGTATCGCTACCAGGAGTCTAGTTCATACATGCACCATTTTATTCCAAACAAAATGTACTGAAACACAATTGTGTGGCCAGTGGGTGGCTACAGACATGCGACCTCTGTAATGCGCTAGTCTTAGTTT